GTACAAGTTAGGAATCTAATTAAATAATTTGCTCTGCATTCTCAGAGCGAGATTCTGTGTTTCTCCCATTAAGAATTTATTAAATGAGCCGTAGTAGCGCTACTCATTGTATATCACTTAGTTTTAAGGATGAAGAATTGGTGTCACACTGTACAGCAAAATAATATCTCGCAGGTATCAAAATATTTCAAGAACTGAAACTACCCCATTAGTCAGTAAAAATTCCGTTAATAAACGTAATAGTGAACCGATTCATGCACTAACTACTTTGTGGTGTGAAGCTAAATATAAATGAAAGCCAGTGTATAAGGTCATAGCAAAATGTCCAGCATAACCAGACGTCCTCTGATAGTACTTAATCTTTGAATCTTACTTTATAAGGTTCTAACCTAGTAGGACTGAGTTGGATTGTGGCTACTGATAAGACCCATGATGCGCATTTAATCCTATTTTGAACTTTTCGTGTAGATGTAGATGTATCTCAGTATTGAAGCTTACAGTAGGACTTAAAGCCAGTGAAGTTCGCTTCAAATGCCAACTAGTTTCCACTGAGCTAATGGGTTTAGATACCCACTAACACCAACACTAGGATGAAGATAGATTTGGCTAACGACCTTCAGTAAGATTAAATCCACGTCCTAGATTTCATTACTGGCTACAATCCGACTTGACTATATACATTTATTTTTATCAATCGTGGTGGCTAAAATAAGTATTACCTAGACTCAACTACAATCGACCTATATATGCAGTGGCGACTGAAGTAAGTGTAGATGGGACAATAGGCAAGGGATGGTTAAATTACAGTGATATAAATTTATTGAACCACTGACTGATTTTTTGAACCATATTTATAGATCCAAACTATGTAGACGGGAATCAGTTCATCAATCATGATGTAATCACTTCTTATCTTCTACTAAACCTTGACTTTCAATATTACTTCGTAATTTATGCAGCGTGAATTTATGCACCCATTTTAAACCATTTTCTGTGTTTGGTTTTTTTCACTAACAATGATACTAATACTCTTACTATTCGAACTCATTTACGATTCTTGTCAAGTTCATGGAACTGTGCAAAGAACTGTAAACTGTCTACAGACATAGCTCTCTTTATGATGAAAATAAATGATCAAAGGATTTAAAGTAAAATAATATTCCATCAACCATTGGTTTTCAATTTTCGACATATATCCACTTCATGTATGAAATCATTGACTGATAGTCTGAGATATTTAAGTTGTAACCTGATTGGCTAGGGCCCCATACCATTATGGTCAGTAGATGGATATCTTACGAGACAATGGTTCAAAATTAATATCAATGGCTTAGATGCATTTGTTTCACATTTTTTTTACTGAATCAGGAGTCTCACTATTATCTTATACTTTTTAACTAATTAATTCTCCCATTTCGAATCATATTCCCTTATTTTTTTAATTTTTTTCATATCACTGATACTACACTTCTTCCACCTTGTGATATATATCTTGTAAAATTTCATCTTGTTATGTTCATGTGGTACGACAACTTGAAGTAATACATATGTCTTAAGTCATACATTGAATATCTCTGATTGACTATTCACTTTAATATCTCAAAATCTTTGTTAGTTTTTGTAAGCGATGATGGATAGTGGCTAGCAGTGGAATCCAGGACGCGCGTTTTGTCCTATTTGGGACTCGTCAGCTGGATGTACCTGCATCTCAAAGAGTTGATGTGCACTCTGGGACTCGAACTCAGTACCATTGGCTTCTAACGCTATCGCGTTATCCACTCAGCTACTGAATCCTGATAGCCACATGCTTGTGCAATGGGGTGAATTTGAATTCAATTGGTATTGTTTGGCTTGTATCTTCCCATTGAGGTTTAAGACTGCAATTGATCAGTCTGTTATTGGCATATGTGCATACTGTGCGTATGCCTTGATATTGCCTTAATTTACAAGCATTATAAGCAAAGATGGATAGTGGCTAACAGTGGCTTTGTCTGTGATATTACAAAGTCGGGCAGCTTGATCCGATCCCCTACTGTATATATCTCTTGGTATATTAAATACATTTTCATTCACAAAATGTTATACATGCGCCAGAGATAAGTTCAGTAAGATACACCAAATGATATTGATGACAATGTCAAACTAGACAAGGTCACTTTGTCCAAGTTTATTAATTCAATGAAATTTAAGGTTAAATAATGGTGAAAACAAAGATGAAAAATAAATAATTCATCAGACAGTATTCAATTATTATCAAGGTTATCAGATTTACATTGTTTTATCTTACATAAACAACTTCAAAAAAATCTATAGAAATGAACATTTTGTATGAAAGGTGATAGACTCAAAAATTCATCTAGAATTTTCTACACTAACAAGTAATGTCACAAGTAGTCACTATAAACAGATTAGTATAAGAACCTGTTAGGTCTCGATAAACATAATGAATGGTAACTTTTGGGATCTATTGATGGACCAATACTAAACGTATATTTTTATCGTATAATTGTTAAATAACTAAACTATTCATATTCATATACCTCTTATTCTGAGCTTCATTTTGACCTATGAGCCATTATTATACGTTTTACCATTATTGATTTATGCCCTGTCTATTAGTCCACTGCCTCACACATTCACAGCCACATTTGGCTATATCTTGTATAAATGTTATTTCCTATTTTATGCTACGTTGTGGTCTGTTTGATTGGTATATAAACTCAGTATGTTTGAAATATAAGGATTCATACGCAGAGGCTGAGATTGGTGTTCTGAACTAAACTGACTGGGCTAGGCGGAAAGCAGGGCCAGTCAGAACTCTAAGCTGCTCGTACGTGTTTTACACATCCTTGGTCCGATCGATAATTTACTGCTCCCTAATTGGCGGTCGCAAGATATAACAGAACCAGTGTGATGGATACACTAAGTTGAATTACTATTAGTTTTACCTTGTCAAAAATGATCAGATTATAACCATTTTTGGACAGAATTTGTTCAAATTTATTATTTCCCTAGAGTCAGCAGAAACGATCACCAAGTATCAATGAATGTTATATCTGTTTAGTCCTTGATGGTGATAGAGTTTTGCTAATAAAGAGTTTCCCGTTAACCATTTCAAACCTAGACTGTGGAATCAATCAAATCCAGGGAGCATTGGACAATGACTTTACTTTAATATGAAACTCTTTAGCAACTTGAAACCACTGTTCGACCATCAAGAATAAGACCATGGACTTTTGAGTTGGAATCTGACTGTCTAAAGATAAAGAGTTCGTAGTAAAACTGGAAGGATCCTATAAACTCATTTCTGAAGAACCCTGTAGTAGGACAAACCAGCTGTTTAAAGTTCCACGATTTCCGATGGCTACTAAGATCATGTTAGTCCAATTTCAAATGAACTCTACTGACTTACAAACCCAAAATTTTAAATTATTTGCCATTGTTTCATATTAAAGTCGTTTGATTGCAATGGGAAAACATCTTTCCAAATAATATTCATTGAAATGGTAAACATCTTCCAAACCGAAATACCTTGTAGTTGATATTGATAGGATTCATTCACTCGATTACATAATTACACGTGCAAATAATTATGGAAAGTGTGATACGTTAATCTATGAGGAATTGTTAAACATTATGGACACCAAAAACTACGTCAAGTAGTGACATATTAAATTCCCATATAATAATTGTAGATAGATGGTTTGACTAAACAAACTTAATTACATAGAGGTTTCTAATATACAATTAGTATCAAATCGGTTAGAGTATGAGAACTTATAAATTTTTAGGTTTAAATTAACCATTACGTGTTGTTGTATGACAGTGTTTGAATCCATTCACCAACAGGGCGATACCGTTTAGAATCGGTACTGATGAGACAGATGCATCCACTCTTATATTAGATCTTTGATTTTAAAGTTTCCTTTAAAATATTTCTTCGCGTATTATGTCGTTTATCACTTATCTTTTCTTTCACATGCGCTGATACTATTGCCACTTCTAAAACTTTGACTTTCATCTCGATAATTTCATCACGGTGTCCTGATATGGTACGTCGGCGATCCAGACCAAATCAAGAATATAATGGATTCTATTTTTCTTATGATTGACTAAAAGACTGACAAGTCACCGATTTACTTATTGCATAAGTGTTCACATGACATAAGTATATTGACATATAACAACGTATAACTTTCGAATAAATGTATATCGATTCAAATTGTTACGGTTGACAGCAATAACCAGTATAAAATGATGACATCTGTGGTGGTTGAAAACTTGACACCAAAAAGATAAGTTAAGTGGAACAAATGAAATTCAACAATTAAAACCATAAAATGTTACTATACATTGTTTAGGGTATAAGTGAAGATCTAGGAACTAATGCATTTATGTCATCACCATAATCAATATGAACCAGATTACATTGATTCTATGATAATTGATTGTAGTCATATTGCTAACCTCAACTTGATTAGAATACACTATTATAGAAAGCTTATGTCAACAGTCAAACATTTCGTGGACGAATATGTCATGAACTGATTTGGTAGCTTTTAGTTTTCCCTTTTTGCATAAGCCATTCACACTTAAAAATTAAGTTAATATCAAACCTATAAAGTCTAATGAGGTGATCAATCTTTATGAAGAAACTGCAAATGAATCTTATCCAGATTCGTAAATGCTGCTCCCTCCCCTCCCCTTAAGTTTTTTACGGAACAAATGGTTTTATAGGACATAAATCTGAATTTCACATAGTAAGCATAACTGTTTACTTCAGACTCTCAGATAGCCCTGATTATGCTGTTATATTCAAGTTATAGCTATCCAGCTCATGAGACAATACTACCACCAACATTAAAGGTATACACATGAACTATCACGGGCTGAACCTAGAGTCTACAGGTTTTGAGACAACAGTGTAAGAATATGAAGACTACCACTTACAAATCAAAATAATCTTTCTAAAACTCTCTTTATCTAAAATAAACAATTACCTCTCCATGTTTTAATTTGATGCTTTTCTAATTCAGTCATTGGTTGATCTGGTGAACGATAGTACCGATGTAATATGCGTATAAAATCCGTAATAGTCAACATGCCAATATGTTTCTGTTCAGTGGAATCCCATAATATAGCTACACGTACACCATTGTAAACTAAAGCGAAAAATGCTTTCTTTACCTATGTAAAGAGAGGAGAGAAATAATCATTAATGATGATGATGGTGAACGAAAAATGAATGAATATATGCATAGTTAATCACACTTACATTCAATGTGACATCGAACACGACTAATTTGGCACTCAATGGAATTAGATCATAACAAGTGTGATTTTTTAAAAATATTTTATAAGCTTTATCAGGATCAGCTGAAAATCAGAGAGAAGAAAACGCATAAGAGCATTAACATTGGGAGAAAAATAAGAACAACAGCAGGACGTTCAGTTAAGCAATAACAAAAAAAGTGAGCATGAAAGATGATGAAAGTGACAAGGAATTCTGATGGATAATTGAACGGCTGAAGCAGTTAACTTCCAATTGATAGACTTCTGGTTCGAATCCTGATTATTATTTCATACAGTATAGGCAATCTAATAGTAGTATCATTATCCCAGACAAACGAAAATCGTTGATAGATATCGATTAAAAGTAAAATTATCAGTTAATTTAATGTGATAACTGCTCAGTTAACATTTCATTGTACTTTGATTAATCCTGTTACCATTTATTCCTGTACGTGATACTACTGTATTCTGAAAACTAATTATTCACTTAGTTCTGGAATGTATTAAGCGGTAAATTTTCTTTTGAAGTTATTTATGTTATTTATGCTTCACAGATCAATTTCATCTTTTCAATAATCGGAGTCTAACTAGGTCAAGAACATTGAGGGAATAGTACTAAAGTTTAGATTACTATCATGTTAATATATTTTGAACTACAAAGAAAGGAGTACGTTATAACAGGAACAACAAATTCTTATTTGATCCAAGATATAACAAACGTCTGAACTAATCGATCACTTCATAGTAACCAATAAGCTGATTACGAGGTGAAAAGTTAAATAATAACTGTTTTTACATGTTCAAATCCCATGAAAAGCATCGCTTCCCTTAAAATTACATATGTAGCTTATTGATCAGTGGCAAACCTACATTCACAGTTATTTATTAATTGCCATCAGCCAGTTCATATTATATATATATATATATATGCATTGCTGAACTTACATAATTCTTCGACATGCACAAAAGTAGCTGGTGATTCAGTACCCTGAAAATGAATAAAGATATTAAAAAAGCGGAATATTTAACTGCTTTAATTAAAGGATGACAATATAATTGAAATAGCAATAACTAATGAAGACAGTTTTATTTCTGTATAGAGTTCATCAATTGACTATGATTGCATCTCAGTCATATATGTTAACATTCTTTCCAGTAAGACTTAAACTTATCAAAGAATTAGCATTTAGTTCAGCTACAACGGTTACATTGATTATTGGTAGAGCATTTTACTGCAGACTCATCAGAAAAATCATAGACATACTTAATACTTATGACTTGTTTTGACAGTTTAGACACTGAACATTTAAGTCCTGTTTTAATTTAACGATTTTTGAGAACTAAGAAACTATTGTTGGTCTGTGCATACATCAGTGGCTTATAACAAACTATGTAACCGAATATATGATGGCTAAACTCCATTCGCCTTTTGGTATTAGTATACATATTTTGACAAACCCATGTATTCCCACATGACTGCTTTGTACTATTCTGAAAATCCTCTATAGTAATACAAGCCAGTAAGATCAAAATTGAAGACTGAAAGCTTATCTACAAGAGCATTGTTTTCTTGATCAATTGCTTAATTTTAGGGATTAGCAACGTTAATCCTGATCAACGTAGACTTCAATCAGTAGGTCATGGGTTAATACTCTGTTCCGTCTACTTTACGGTTTGTAAGTCAGTCAGCTACAACGTAGGACCAGGCACATATGTGCATCGGTCCAGGTTGCCATACCGCATTAGCACAACAAGATGAACACCGGATTCATAGCAGTTGTTAGGTCAAAGGTGATAATATATAAGAGAAAGATTGCATATAAGGATATAGTACAAGAAGAAAGAATTGGTTCGTAAAATGAAAGATATGAAGTGATTTTAATCTCTTAGTTTAAGGGAAGACAAGAAGTGTATACACCGACGCCATTGTGATCGATTCTGAGCCATGTCACCCACAGTCTCCAACCATTGGTTACGATAGTCACGCGGACCCCAACCAAGTAGTCTGCATCTACCAACATGGCTCAGACTAGAAGTTAGTGACTTCAAGCACTGGTGCCGTGTTTTGGTCTAGCCGCCTTTAGCTTCCAACCATTCCCAACACTAGCCAGCATTTCAGTCGTTGTAATCGGTATTCATGTATACGCAACACGTGACCCAAACATCTCAGTCGATGAAGATTCACAAACTCATCAATGATTTACCATCATTACCTAATACCCTGCGTCTAACCTCACTATTACTTACCCGGTGATTCAAGCAGACGTCAGCAATATTTCTAAGGCATCTATGGTCAAATACTAGTAGCTTACGAGTGTCTTCTACTCTTAAAGGCCATGTTTCGCTGCCGTAAATTAAAACAGAACGGACTGCCGCGCAGTATACTCGTCCTTTTATAGATAGACGGATATTTCGCCTTCGCCAAAGGTGACGTAAGTTGGCAAAAGCCAAACGAGCTTTTCGAATCCGTGCTGAGATTTCGTCCGATACCAACCCATCAGGGCTGATCAGACTTCCAAGATTAAGCGGTGTTACAAGTCCCACAAGAATCATGTGTCTCAAAGGTGAGTAAATGAATCTTCATTATCAAATGAGTTACAATAACAGCCATAAGTAACTTAAAGTCTGGTAGGAAAATGTGTTGCTGTACCAAGAATAGCACGAGATAAAATCAACAAGATGAATATCAACCGAAATTTAATGGTGCAGTAGTGGTAATAACAATGAGAAAGACTGAACACTAAAAACATAGTACAAAAAGACGGAGTGAAACAGTACGTATGAAGAAATATTGGAATCTAATAGTTGAAGGACGAACAAGAGTGAATAAATCTGTTGTAACTACTTCTAATTTATGTCACCCAAAGTCTCCAACAACTGATTGTGGTTATCACACGAATATTAATCAGGTAGTTTGAAGCTACCAACATGGCTCAGTGCAGTAAAACGAGCAACCTATGTCTTTAGTGTACTACTAAAAGCAGAGTGGTGGCTCAGTGGTTTTAGCGTTCGACATCCAGCCACTAAGTAATAGATTTGCAACCCACGCCACTTCGGCTTGGACAGTCGCGTAGAATTATTAGTTTTCACACTCGAACTTTGGACAGTAACTTCTGCAACCGATCATCAAGTTTGACTAGTGTAGATTTGTGCCACGTTTTATGTTGACAGTACCTATGACTCTGACTAGTATTAATGTGAATTAGTAGTATCTTAAACATAAACAAAAACGATATATGTTGGTACAAGTGTGTAGCGCGCTGCAGGTAGAATAATCACAATTCAACCAGGAAACTAATCGAGGATAGGGATGAGATGCCAAATAACGAAACTGTTGACCATTAACTACATAAACATTACGAATACATGTAAACTGCCGTTTCCAGTTTAAAAGCCTACTGTTTACAGTATTTAATGGTCATCACTGTAAGACCTAGTGCAGATGTGTATCAGTTTAAGTTGCCACATTTTACATCCAAATAGTAACATGAATAGTCAGTCCTCACACTACCAATCAAACACTACATGAACTTATGGGATGACCTGGTTTGAAAGACCCTGGCCTTTTTTAACCTACTTTCAATCCAGTTAGCATTGGGCATAGAAAAAAGCAGTGGCTTGCCATACGTATTTCACGTCCCAGCCACCTTAAATAGTGAAAATCAGTTTATTCAACATATTTTTCATTTCACTCAGTTCTCCACAATGTGACCTATGCATTGTTTGCACTACTGTTTCAAAAATGTTTGTGACCTAACACTATTAACCTGTCCATGTAAACCATCTTTGAAGAGCATTTTCGTGGTTGGCATTAACTAACCCTTCTTTTTATCTTCAGAACTGATAAAATCTTGCACAGTCAGCAGTAAGAATTCGCTCCTTCACCTTCAATCGATTGCTTCTGTTCATCTATCTGACTTACATAGAAAGGTAAGACTTCAGTAAACAATCATGTTGATATTAAAGAGGAAGGGTGTATTTGTAAAATTTCAGAGGAAGAATTTGAAGTCAATCTAACGTTTCGCCTGGCAATCTGGTCCAAGCTTTTTTGAGGAAATATCATGTTGATAGTTCTCGTAATAGTCAAATAAACATATTATGGTAATAGCTGTAGTCAAGTTTGTCAGTCGATCTAACCATTCCAATGAAAACAAATAAATAGACTTATACTCAGCACTCTGAGACACATACTGAAAACAGATATTTTCTTGTCCTTTATAATTAAATATCTATTTGTGCAGTGAATTAACCTCTTAAAAACGCAAGTTCTAAGTACTGAAGGAGAGAGTAACGTTACACTTAATTACTTTCAGTTTGGGGTGGCTGTCTATAGCTTTTTTAGATCTCGGATGACTGTCTTGATAACTATGGATAGTATACTTTTATCATTTGTCTAACAGTTCATTACTACAATTTAGTGAATGACTGTAGTTCATAAAGTGCGTACATAGGTCACAAAGGCCAGAACCACTATGAATACTACAATTTAGCTTCCACGTAAGTAATTCTCTAGTTTCATATCCGGTTTGTATGATCTCAATCTCTACTGATAAAACCCCATATTTCATGCAATCAGTTCCCTTTATGAATGTAATTACAGCCAGAACAAATATTGATGCAGAATAATATGAATTCATTACATTTCATGGTTTCTCGTCAACTGCTTACAACCAAATACGTATTAGAATTTTACAGAGATAAGAAATAGTATGGAACAATTGACATAAGTGAATGTAAAGGATCGGAATGACAAAGGTTATCGATGATAACTATATATTTGGTTGCAAGCGGCTGACGAGAAACCACGAAATATAATGAATTCATATTATTTTGCATCAAGATTTGTTCTAGATTTATTTAAAGCCCTGATAATTGTTATTAACTGCCTGTCCGTAAACCGCGAAAATTCTAAGTACTGGAGAATAGACACAACAATAAATATACATGCGGCCTTATACATCAATGGGATACAATAGGGCAAGTAATAATTTCGCTACTTTCACGTAAAAGATTCCAGAGTGAAGGCCGAATAATGCTTACCCCATTGTAGTTAAATTTTGTACTCCAAAAGGTATACCGAATGACACGAAAATAAATTACAATACACCAAGCAAATATGAAAGTTGCCCATTTTTGCATTCCGACACTTAAGAAACTTAATCCCTCGACTTTTACGAAAATTTTGTAAGTTTTTGGTAAACTTGGCGGAAACTACAGTGAAACGTTATGGGGAAATAGCACACAAAACCCTAAATTTTTTCAGGCCTGAAGAAACTCCGAAGCCTTTTGGGTACATTTTGTGTTCTTCCCATTACCTTCCCCAAACTTTGATGGAAACTACGAGTTTTCGTATGGATTTGAAAAAGACTATAAAATCCCCCAAAATCAGGAGACTGGGGAACATTATGAAATGCTGTTACACCACTGAAACCTAACTCTCGCCGAACAGTACACCAATATTAGGGTGGCAGTGCGATGACAAATGTTTGTTACTACAACAGAGCAGAAAAAAAAGGAAACTGAGACTTTTATTCTGATTCCATGAACCGCAGAGATTACGTTCAAAAACAAAGCACCTTACTCGGCATATAGATACACTTTACAGATACAGACCTTACAATTGTCCCAAACAACCATATACTTTTCGCCGCTGACGCTCTTGTTGCGCACGCGACCTTCAGTGTGAGGACTATTGTCCATAGGAAATTTGGTGACCCTGAGATCTAAACCAGGCGCTTCAACTATGAACTTCAAACCTATCACTTTCAAGCAAATCTACAAAACTCAGTGATCCCTAGCATTTTCCCCAATAGGTACTAATGTGCAAAGTATGAGAACTACTCTGATCCTTTATTGATTAGGATAGTCACTTAGACAAGGTGGGCTACCTACGGCATGGATCAAAACAACTCCCATCAAACTACAAACCTATCAACCTCACAACTGTTATGAATCAAGTACTGCAAGGAATAAACAAAAAGGTCATAATGACAATCGTGAAAGCCAAAAACTTGTTGAATGACGAACAAAATCACTTCAGGTAGGGAATATACTGCACAATAAAACTTATGGCAAAAGTTGTAGTGACCTACTTTTATCAAGAGAACGCGATTGGTTTAATGGAAACGATTACTATTATGACGAATTGTACCACGGATTGTTTTACTGTACTTGTTTGTTTAACTGTACCAAAATACATACATTCTTCTGTTGATTGTGATCTTGCACGTATTCGGTTACGCTAAGTAACCACACTTGTAACCTGGTACGATCTCGGTATTATTTCGATAACACGAGATCGCCAACAAATACATCTCGACTACGGCCATCAACTGCCTTCTGATATTTTACTTACGGGGGATTTTATCAGTTAAGTGGCACGTAGTCTTCCTGTAGTGGTGATCATAGTCAACCACGACTTGACGCCACACAACAAGGTTTTAGACCGAGAGGTCAGGTAATGGAAAATCATTGAGTCTTATTTACTTAGACTTCAGCAGAGAATTTGATGAGGTGCCAAAAACTAGACTACTCTTTTAACTGGAAAATCCAGGCACTAACGTACCTCTACTTAAGTGGATTAGCGATTTCTTGGTAAGTCGCTGGCAGGAAGTACAAGTAAATTTCAAGTGCTCCTCCTGGAAACCAGTGCTTAGTGAAGTTCAACAAGGCTCTGTCCTACTCTTTTACTTTTCATATTGTATGTAAACGAGCCCTCAAGCATTGTTGAGTCCTCTCTGCTACTATACCCTAATGCGAAATTCTGGCGAGGAATAACAAGAGACAAGGATGCATGTGTACTTCAAGCGAACTTAGACGTTTAGATTGGCCGGTCTAAAAATGGCTGATGCCTATCAACGCAGTCAAACGTGTCTATATACACATTAGATATACAAAAGCAAATAGTTGCCGCACAGGGGAAGAGTCGGTGTCCTTAGTTTGGTCTCGCAATGATCTTGGGATAACGGTGAGCTTTGATCCTGATATATATCCATATATGTACAACTCAGAAGACATAGCAAGCGATTAGAAAAGCCAAGTACACAAAAAGTGCTCATAGCATTCTGATTTTTACACTGAATCATCAATTCTTGGAATCTCTTACACGAAGAAGTGTTTCCGCCCTTCTTTTTGAATCATTCAAGAGAAAACAAGATACTCTCAAAAGCTTACTAGAAAGGTACTAACAGAGGCTGTATGTATTCTGTCCTTACTACACAAATTCGAATCTGAACCAAAAATCTGAATCCAAGAGCGGGTTTCTTGAACAGACATCAGATGGTAAATTTTACGTCCAGAAACCATTCACATCTCAAGTTCATTTTCTGAGTAGAAGAAAACAGATCTTTGTTACAAAGAAATGGTATTTATGTCATGTTTCTGAAGGAGAATCTGACGCAGAGTGCTAGTGGCAGTGCCACAAATAGCGCATCGTTTGCATTGGTTAGCAATAACAAAATGTATGATTTATAAGGCATTTTTGGAAGGTTGCCGACATGTTGTGAATCGTTTGATCTAAACCGGTTATTGTTACGTGAGAATGCATAACAGTGTGTATACTCCTGATCTAGTGTGGGTGCTTGACCGAGCGCTTCCAGCTAGGTTATATCTAACTCACGTTAAACGTAACGATTCAAAGATTGCTGAATGAACAACAGTTTACGTTTTCATGAATCAATAATAATTCCAGAGAAAGAAGCCAGAAAGATTTATGTTTAGGTGATATTTGCAAATGGTGATTCTGAATACAGTAGAGGTGTTTGGTTACAATTGCAAACGGTATCGACAGTAAACAGAATATTATTTTCACGAGTATCACAGTGTGTATTTAGATGAATAGTTGTTACTTAATTTTTGCGAATTCGTCAACTTCACAGTTTTTTCAATTGCTTTATACTGTTGATAAGTTTCCTGTTTGTAAATCAGTTATTGTGCCTGGGAAGTGTATGGTTCGGTTTGCAAAGTAGTTGATAATGCGTTTCCTTGTACGTACATATACATTTTACATAGTGTTAGTAATAAATGTGTTGTAAGTACGTATTAATATGAAATTATTGTCTCAAATTACTTTATAATAACAACTCAAATGTTTGCAGCACCTTAAATACTAAAAATTATAGTTCACGGATTCAATACTGTCCACATTTTGTCATGCAGTTTTCTTAAGGCGATTTACTCAAATTATTAGTGACACATGATGTACTCCATCGTTTTTCAATAATCCAGTCATAAGTCATTTTCAGAGTGATTTAATATTAAAGGAAGACCAACAAATTCTATATACTAATTCCAAATATATAAATAGTCCAACATCAAACCCAGATAAGTTCAGCCTTTTAATTATAACCGTTTTCTATAAATAGTTAAAATGCATGTTGTAAACATGCTCAGGTCTGTCATGACGTCCACGTTTTTGCCAAATAAACTGAGGTCAAATTTATAAACCGATATTTAATTGTACTCGTATTAACTTTTCCTTGATCACAAAATCCCTAGACCGATCAGCTGAACAAGATTTCAAAAATTTTCATTCAGGTTTATATGTATTATTATTAAAACGATCATTGTACATGATACGATATTACAGATGCCATAGGTATTTGGAGTTTGACATCGCTTTAACCAGTAACAACTTATAATATGAATCGTATCCATCTAGTGAAATCAAAAGTCAGAATCGAGGAGGTTCAAAGATATGTTGGATAGGCTATCAATATATCGAGAACCGACTGATCTAGGCTGGCTAGCGATTTCAGGGAATGTTGAGCACGGCGTTCCCACTCGTGGTCTGGTGTGGATGCATGACCGAGCACCTTCAGCCAGATGAGTCAACTAAAACTGATATGATCCGCATCCAGTATCAAAGACTTACAGAGATATTTGTTTTGGGGATTTATTTATCGCTACAGGTCATTAACCCACTAGGGAAGTTTGCTACCCATTGCTCTACAAAGGCACGGGCCACTATTCCAGCAGCATCTCTCTTTTTATAATAAAATAAGTCCATTCTTTTGGAATAGCCTTTTGGTCTATCAACGGAATAGTAAAAGTTCTACCAGATCCAAATAGCATAGTCGAGACGAGCATCGGGGGTTTTAAGTGAACCTAAAGGACATTTGTTGTGTTTAATCACCTTAGATTTCTGGCAGCTTACACAGGAGCGTGCCCACACTTTCATGTTCTTAATCATACCAGGCCAGCAAAATCGTCCTGCTATGAGCTTGATTGTTGCACGAACACCTGAGAAAGTTTGTGCAAAGTATTGAAGAAGTTGCGTCGATAATGTTTCGGCACGATTGAGGGTTCCCTTTCTGTAGATTTGTCACAATGTAAGGTTTCCTTACCTGTTCCCATCTGTCTGATGCGTAGCCTGAAGGTTTTAAATGATAACTCGTGCTGAAGTTTGGTGTCTTCTTTTTGAAGCTGGGCGAGTTTCAGAAGGTCGATCCCTTGGAAACTGTTCAAGGAGGTCACACGAGACAAGGAGTTTGCAACTACATTGTTTGCTTCAGAAGTGTGTTGTGTATCTGTAGTAAACTGTGAAATACAATTCAGTTATCGAGACTATCTAGGTAGGTACTAACAACCTTCTCCAGAAGAATACGAATGGTTGCCATATGTGATCAACTCATTTTTGTAAGACTCCTTCGATTTCGGAGTCGGATGGCATCCTGATGTGCAAGTATGGTTGCTTTTGAGATAAGTTATTCAACTGTGAAGAATGCTCTTTCTCATGGTGTCGCTCAAATGGATGGATTCCGCAATTTATATGTAAATCGTTACCTAAACAAATATTACCACCCGGCTATTCAACCAATAATTGTTCAATCAATCAAATCTAAATTACAATAAATAAAGAAGTTGATAAAAGATGAGGGAAAATTACCAGTCACAACAAATGATCGTTATTCTATCCTGACTGGATAGAACACACACAAAAGGAGGAGCAAATCAATGTGGCTACCGCCAAGAACAAGTGTCCAGTAAAACAACACAGATGCAGTTCGGGAAGAAACACAAACTTAGTGAATGAGTAAGCAAAACAAAAACTATAATAAAAAATACAAGAATTAACAATTCAAATGTAACCAAAAGACAACAATGTACAACTAAGGGGATCAATAAGAACAAAGTACAAGTATATACATGGAGGAATTTTCACCAACACACAAAACATTCGAAATGGATGTCACATCCCAAGCTGTTTCAATTGGGTCTCTGGCTTTTTTGTTCAGTCTACTGACGATGCTGAGTGTATAATATCTTGTATATTTGCTTTCCAGACGTTAGGTCTGGGTTGGACTGACGCGTGCTCGTTTTTGACAACTATATGGAAATCAAAGGTTAGAACTGCATTATCACTTTTACCAAGAGGTGGCGTGTGATTGAAGTTCATGACGTAATCTTCATACTGGGTAATTATAAGATCTGGTAAGGATGATTCAGAGTCCGGATAGTATCTAGTCGCTTCTTCCATATGTTGCACTAGGACATATGTGATAACTGCATCGACTAGTTCCTGCTCAGAGGAATATTCTGACAATTCAGTTCTCAGATTTTTCCAGTCTACCATGGGTGCATTAAAGTCTCCCAGGATGAGACATCGACCACTTTGTAAACAAGTATTGAGACTGTCTAGCAAGACCTCATTTACCTCATAGCTTTTATTGCGGTGGACCAAACCGATCGCCAGCTCTCGT